ATTTTGTTTTTCTATTTCGATAGCACGACAGCTGTGCTGTTTGGCATGCCATGTAATGACTTGTAATGGTGGCCAGCAGGAACCTCAAGTGTCCCCAGAATTTAAATCATTGGATAAAACATCTGAAAGTATTACCTTTTGTGATATCCTAACAAGATAAATCACTTATTAAAACTTTAGTTCTTTGTGATTGTAAAAGGTTGCAAGGAGTGATGATAATGATGGAGAAGAAAGAGTGAAATCCTCCTCAGGTGAAGGAATCTTGAGAAATAAGATTGAGAACATGTTGAGGGTTTCCTTTATATTTCCTTGAATAGCTTAGATTTGTGATGATCAAATCATGCAGATCTCTGGTCAAATTTTGCATCATTATATTAGAAGACTATTATTTTGTTTCTTTGCTTCCAAATGCTTGAGGAGGTGACTGGCAGTGAATTTTGGTCAGTGACAAATGGGGAAGTGAATTTTCTGGTGGAAGGTGGTGGATGAGGCGAGAATTTTCTTTGTTGGAATAAGTTTCAGACAGATGTATCCCATGAGGATGAGATGCTCCTGGTATACATGGTGTGGTAGAAGAGATGGCGGTACGAGGCAACTTCCTAGAGGCTAATATCTCTTCAGCCTGAATCTTGCTCGAAGAAGGCCAACTACATGAAAATTTTGAACTTGGTAGGTGGTTTGACTTTTTAAAGTATGCACCGACATTGGAAAGGAGAGAGTATCTATGAAAACACTACCCTTCAGTTTTATCATGATAATCTAGGGATTTAGTTTAAAGCAGAAGCATGGGCTGCCTTCTTTTACAGAAGCATATGATATACAAGTCTAGACAGACCGAGTTTCTAAAACTGTGATTCATTGAGATGATTTCACACTCTTTAAACTATGCAACTCTAATCACTGGGGAGAGTAGCGATCTGGGAATCAGCTGTTAGAGACGTATAGCTGCACCAAATTGTTTAGATTGTTACCGTACAAAGGTAGCTGTTTTGGTGTTTGAGACTAATGAACAAGAATTTGTATTGGGGAAAAGCCAGAAGAAAGGAGAAAAGGGAAATGAAAACAGATGTTCATGTTGAAAAATCCCATAGCTAAAGGTGGAGGATGAATTTCAATCAAGTCCATGTTGACTTTGCTTTCCAAATTTATGCTATCTTTCTTCTTCTAAAACTTCCAAGTTTTCTATATCATTGATGTTGATATGTTAGAAACATTGAGAATAGCTAATCTCAATAGTTATATGTGATTTTAACAACATTGTATGATAAGTATTAAGGCTACTAGATTATATCCTACTTACACAAAAGCATTTGTTCCTTTTGCCTCAAAAATCATTTTCTATATTTATCCCACTCACCTTTGTAAATGTCTGTAGGTTGTGTTGGGAAAAGTTTGGATGGACTACCCAGAAGGCTGATGAATTACTTGTACCTATTTTAAAGGAGTACAACAAACACGAGGTTTATTCAGTACTTACCTTCATATTGTGGAACAGTTTTAGTTGAATCACCTTTAAATTATTGTTTTGTTCTAGTTTTGGTGTGTACGATTTAATTCAACTTATAATTTTTTCGCTCACCTGCCTTAGCTTCTTAGTTGAAAGCTTAGTTCTTTCTTTGCCTTTTTGTTTTCAGTTACTTGTCACATTTTGTCATTTCTCATAAGCAATGTTGTCATTGCAAATATTGCTTGCTTTTTTTCTATTTGATTATGATAATTTTGCTTAGTTTCATCATATCACCCTCAGATATTTGACAGCTAATTTGTATTTACCTTTCTCATTTAGTTGTTTCTGATTTAAGGCATGCCCCCTAATGATTGTTGTCGTATGTTCCATATTATCTGCTTAAGATGTTGGGCTGAACTCAGAAGTTCTTAATCCAACTTTCATTCTCTTGTTCTTGATACAAACGCAGCTGCGGCTGGAGGCATTTTATACATTCAATGAGAGGTTGCAAAAGCACGTAGTCAATGAATTAAGAAGGCTTTGAAAGGAATTACAGGCACTTTGTCATCTGATTTGACTGATGAACTTGTCAAAGAAGGGCTCAGTTTTAGGAAAAAACGATGCACAGGACTCTCTACAGGAGGAGGAATATAAACCTGAGAACTCTACTGGTGGTAACTCTAAAAGGGGTAAGAAAGTTCCGAGACAATGGAGAGGGCAGAAGACTGAGAAAGAATTTATTTATTCAGAGGATCTGGCTGGAGAGTCACTTGTACTGGTAAAAGATGATATAGATGATACTAGCGTTCTGAGTCTGAATAGGACAGTTAAAGGGAGAAGAGGAAGGGGAAGAGGAGCAAGAGGAAGGGGAAAGGGCAGAGGTAGAAGCAGTCCAATAAAGGTAGACTCTGATTCTACTGATGATGGTGATGATTATAATGCCAATGTTCAGTTGGAAAATCACTCCAAGGTGCCTGAAGTTTTGCCAAAGTTGCGCAGTGTAAGTTTGCTCGTGTCATATCCATGATATTGTAATGCTGATGAACTCATCTCTTTAGATTATTGGTTGTGTTTCCTATTTTTTTTGTTAAATTCCAGATAGTTTTTCTGTTTTAAATACTTCCTGAAAGAAGACTGTCATCACTCAGCTAGTTGGATAGTAGTTTTATCGTTGTTTTTAAACTTGCTTCAAAACTCTTAAGCAGGGTTTAACTTGCAGTATGGTTATACCAGAACCTCATTACATGAATAAAATAATTTAAAACTGCTTAACATGTTGGTGTTGGTGGTACTCCATTTTATGGGTGTGTGATCAAACTGGTACGATAAGGTCATTACACCTCAATATTTTTAACCTTGCTCTTTAGTTTATATATATACGTATATATTTATATTAACATAACTTTTGTCATTAGCATCTTTTGACTTTTCTTTTTGTAACATATCTAATTTGTTTCCATGAACTTACAATTATCCAATCGATGAGGCCGTTAAAGCAAGTACAATATGCCAATGTTCTGTTGGTTGTTTTCGGCTACATGCTTTGCCTAACATTCTTGAGAAACTTGTGTAACAGGAAGAAATATTCCAAATCTGTCATCCAAGCCAGGTTGTCCGCGATGGGTTAATATTATCAGTCTTCTAAATGTCCCCGTCTTCTGATCATCATCATCAAGTTTTCCTCTCTATTGTTGTCAACAAAAGGTTGAGCATGCATGTAAGTATGCAATACACATAAATATGTCCCTGTATCATGCAGCAAATCCAATTGTCTTATTGCCAATAAGATTGATAGCTGATCACATTTTTCCTTGATTTTTTTTTTCCTGTCTGATTGCTCGAGTGTTCCTTGTGATTGTGTGTTACCATGCAACCGGCGCTCGTAGCGGTAGGGGAGACCGACGACTGCGGCAGCAGAGGATACTCTATTTCTGCCACACCGTAGGGGAAGCCGTTGGCGATGTCGAATGATCACGACCAACGGTGGCCGGCAGCAGTGTTGTGGCTAGGGCAACGTCGCCGACGAGTGGCTACGAGGGGTGGTCCTCTAGCTACAAAACAGCGGTCGCGGCCTTCTTGCTCGAGCGAGATGGGGAAGCGAGGAGAGAAGGTTGCTGGCCGGGGCGTAGCGGCGGCATTGGGCGTTGGCCGGGGAGCAACGATAGCTGTGGTCATCGACTGGGAAGCAGCGCCGACGGTAGAAAAGAGGCAGTGGTGGTCGGTGCCGGGAAGCAAGGGTGCGGCTGACGGCTGCCAACCTCTTCTCTCTCTTTCTCTGTCTTTTTTATTTTTATTTTTTGAGATACAACGAGAATGACGAGAACCACTACTTTCATACAAAATGATAAAACCCTAAGGTTTTATCGTAAAAAAATAAAAAAAAAATAAAAAAGGGGATGATTATTTTGAGGGGATTGGCCTCCTTGATCGTGTTGAGTGGATCGATCTCTTAGGGTTTGTCATAATACTGAATAATATTTCATTGATTGATTAAAAAAAATATTATATCACTATTAATAGAGTTCTATCTAGAATCCATCAGAACTTAGTCTCTTAATAATAATTAAATATTAAATAAACTTTTATCCGGCTGTAACTGAACTAAACAGACTCAATAAATATTATTCAAAAGCTAAAATAAAGAGACGTAACAATACTTATATATATAAATTGATCTTTTAATGTGTTAGTCATGTGAGATAAATATTTAGCTTGACTTTATTTTTTTTTCACTTTTGTTTTTAGACAACTTTCTCTCGCTCTTTGGTTGACTATTTAATCCAGAAGCTTAATACATTCGCAAAACTGGTTCATCAGTTAGTCTCTCGATTTCCAAATTACTTTCTTACACAGAAATTTAAACGAAATTATTATAATAACATATATATATATATATATATATATGCTTAAATCAACAACATACCTATTCTATCATTATTTTTCTTGCCGCTATCTTTGGTGGTCCTATGTGTATCATAAGACATTGAGAACATGATTAATGACTGTATAAAGCGAAAGGGGATTGAGTTAGTAGGATATATGTTCGTGTAATAAACAAAAAAAATTAAAAAAAATAAAGAATAAAATATCTAAATTATCAAAGTATTATATGGGTACGATGCAAATACTTCTTGAACATTTCAAATGATTTGAACTCCTTTCCATAAGCAATATCCTGTTTTTAGTTTCACCTCAAAAAACAGGGTATCATATACTAGAAGTTTATTTTTCTGGACCAAATTTTTACCATAGGTTGTCCATATATTTAGATGCTCAAATATCAAGAACATTATATTGGTCCATATTATTTTGCTTGAAATAGACAATTAGAAAGAAAATAAAAAAAGGTAGACTATTAAGATGCTAAATAAATAAAAAATATAAAGCAAAATATTTTGAAATTAGAAAAAGTCTAATACATTTCCACATAGGTACAATGCAAATCATTCTTAAAGATTTCAAATGATTTGGACTTATTGTATGCAATACCCTATTTTTGATTTCACCCCAAAAACAAGGTATCATATAAATAGGAGTTTACTTTTCTAGACCAATTTTTTATTATGAGTTATTAACCTATTTAAAAACTCAAATATTAAAAAAATATTACATGGATCCATACTATTTTGCTAAAAAAAAAGAGAGAAAATGGATAAATGATAAACTCTTAAGATCTAAATAAATCAAAAAATATATAGTAAAAATTTTAAATTAAAAAAAATGATACATGTTCATATGGGTACATGAGGATTTCAAATAATTTGGACTCCTCCTCCTATGCGATATTATGTTTTTGATTTCACCCCAAAAACAAGGTCTGGTATACCAAGAGTTGATTTTTCTAAACTAAGTTTTTATTGTGAATTGTTTATCTCTTTAGATGCTCAAATATTAAAGAACATTACATGGGTCCATGCTATTTTTCTTGAAATAAAAAAATGAAGAAAATATAAAAAAAAATAGATTGTTAAGATGCTGAATAAATTAGAAAAATAAATAATAAAATCTCTGAATTAGAAAAAAAATGATACATGTCTATATGAGCACAATGCAAACTTTTCATGAAGATTTTAATATACGATACTTTGTTTTTTATTTCACTCCAACACAAGGTAACATATACCAAGAGTTAACTTTTATAGACCAAATTTTAATCATTGCTTGTTTACCTATTTAGATGCTCAAATGTGAAACAACATTGCATGGATCCATACTATTTTGCTTGAAATAAAAAATATTAAAAAATGACAGAATATTAAAATCTCTAAACTAGAAAAGTTTGGAACATGTCCATATGATATGGTTGCAATGCAAATATTTCAAGAAGATTTCATATGATTTGCGCCCCTCTTTATATGCGATACCTTATTTTTTATTTAATTCAAAATATAATGTATCGTTTACCGAGTGTTGACTATTTTGCACTATTACTTTACCTTAGAGTTGATTATTCTGAACAAAATATTTAACATGAAAAATAAACCAACCAAGAATGGCTAGTTCAACATTTGATTAAACTAAGGTTCGTTGTACCGTACTATACCGGCGTTTCGATTCGGGCTCGGTATGGTATGGTACCGGTGTACCAGGCGGTACATCAGAGCGTACCGAATAATTTTTTTTTTATACTGTAGTACTATAGCGGTACCGGGCGGTCCGCGTGCCGGTAACTTATCGGACCGGTACGTACCATTCGGTACGGACGATACACTTTGGTACGACATACCTTGGATTAAACTAAGATGAGAGGGACATAAAATGACTGCTTTGCATATTTGTGCACAAACACTCCTCGTAAGCTTGGTGACAAATTTTCCTGATAATAAGCATTTTCCTAACTTATCATAATTTACCTTACATTAAATTAAAAATACTTTTTTTTAGCAAAATGAGGTAGAAGTTTGAAAACAAATATTTCTTAGATAAATAGGATGTCATATATTTACTGAAACTTGATGATGCAATAGTGGTAGTCGATAGTCACAATGAAAATTCACGATGGTAGTGGCAACACTAGAAGTTGACGATGAAAATTCACGATGGCAGCGTTGAAACTAGAGAAACAACTTTTCCTAAATAATTCTCTATTGCACACTTATGTTTGGAGGGAAAGAAAAAATATGTCACAGAAGAGGAAAAGAAAAAAAATAAAAGAAGTCTTGGTCTTCTGCTCCCCATTTCTTCGAGGTTATTTTTTATGTTATTGTTATTAATTATCATTTCTTCTTATTTATATCATTGAGACTATTTTTTTCAGATTTACTTAGCATATAACCTTTGTTATAAGTAGTCTATAACTATTAAGATTGTATCTTTATCTACTTTCTAGATTCTGATTTATGTTTATAAGAGTTTGCTTGTAAGAATGTTTTGATGGTATTGGTTATTGTGCCTCATAGTATATTCTAAGTTAATATATTTCTTTATGTGTGAAAACTTAACTAGATGATGATATCTAATATGCTGCAAAAGCTAAAACTTTACCTGAAAATACTACTGACGAGAGCAAATTGATCCTGTATGGGATTTACTAGTAAGCAAATGTTGGACCAGTGAATACTTGTATGTGCTCCTTAATATCATCTTATTTGTGATTTACGGTCTTTGCCAAATAAAATTATGATACTTTTTCCTTTTATCTCTTTGCAGATCTAGTATAATCAATATGAGGGATAGAGACAACTGGGATGCTTGGAAGGCTATTGCAGGTTTACAAAATCCACTTGACAAATCTTATATATATATATATA